ATTTTTGTATTTTTAGTAGAGACAGGGTTTCGCCATATTGGCCAGGTTGGTCTTGAACTCCTGACCTCAGGTGATTCTCCTGCCTTGGCCTCCCAAAGTGCCGAGATTACATGTGTGAGCCACTGTGCCTGGCCCAATGAGCCCCATTTTCTAAACAGGCAAAAGGGAACATGGGGAAGTGAAGTGACTTGCCCAAGGTTACAAAGCTAGTAGGTGGTGAAGCTGACATTCAACCCAGATATCTGACTTAAGGCTCTCTCATGGAGTTTTTGAGACACGAATTCTGTCTGTGATCTGCTTAGCCAGTGATTCTCAACCCTGGCTGCAGGTTAGAACCATCTGGGGAATTTTTAAACATCTTGATTCTAGATTATACCCCAGACTAGTTAAGCCAGATTGCTAGGGGTGGGACACAGGCAGTAATTGTTTTTAAATCTCCTCAGGTGATTCCAATGTGCAGCCATATTGCTAATCAGTGGCTATATATTCATAATTCTTTCCACCTGTTTTTAAAATTTTTTATTATTATTATTATTTGAGACTGAGTCTCGCTCTCTTGCCCAGGCTGGAGTGCAGTGATGTGATCTTGGCTCACTGCAACCTCTGCCTCTCAGGTTCAAGCAATTCTCCTGTCTCAGCCTCCCAAGTAGCTGAGATTACAGGCACACAGCACTACACCTGGCTAATTTTTGTATGTTTAATAGAGATAAGGTTTCACCATATTGGTCAGTCTGGTCTTGAACTCCTGACCTGAAGTGATCCACCAACTTTGGCTTCCCAAAGTACTGGGATTAAAGGTGTAAGCCACTGCACCTGGCCTCCACCTGTTATTTTTTAAAACTAGAAAATAATTATATTTGTTCCTTTTCACAAGCAATAGGTAAGAGGCCAATGAGTATAAGACATTGTATACCCACTGCATTTGCATTTCCTTTCTCTTTGGGGACCCAGCTAGCTCAGGCCTTCACTTTCTTATTCAAGAAGGAAGAAGAAAAAGTGATAACTGTGGTAGCCAGATAATGCTTAGATTTGCAATGTGTTTGGAAAAAAGAATACCCAAATTTATTAGTATTACCTTCAAATGAATTTTAATGCAATGGCACAACTAAAAGACTGCTACTGCTTTATTGCTGTTAAGAAAAAAAAAAAAGAAACAAAGCTGAAATTTTGCAGAGTTGTATCTAGGGTGCTATAATTGATCCTGGAGTGGCACTGACAACTTGGAAGTGCTAAGCTATGATGCTATACAAAGGGCTGTGAAGTTACCTGCATAGTGACAGATAGGAAATGAACATTTGTTGAGCATTTACTCATGGTGTAGTGGACAGAACACATGTTTTTATAGACAGGCAGACATGGGTTCAAGTCCCAACCATTTACTAGCCGTGGTATTTTTTGTTTTGTTTTGTTTGTTTTTATTTTTTGAGACAGGGTCTCGCTCTGTTGCCCAGGCTGGAGTGCTGTGGCGTGATCTTGACTCACTGCAATCCGCCTCCCAGGTTCAAGTGATTCTTGTGCCTCAGCCTCCTGAGTAGCTGGGATTACAGGTGTGTGCCACCACACCTGGCTAATTTTTTTTTATTAGAGATGGGGGTTTCACCATGTTGGCCAGGCTGGTCTTGAACTCCTGACATCAGGTGATCTGCCTGCCTCGGCCTCCCAAACTAGTGAGATTACAGGAGTGAGCCTTTAAGTCTCCATTTCCTAATCTGTAAAGCCGGGACTGATAAGGCTTACCTGGCAGGACTGTATGATTGCTGAGATAGTGTGCGAAGTGTCTAGTACAGTATCTGAGGCATGGCGATAATTACGATCGTGTGGTAGATGCCATGTTATCCACATTTGTTATTTCCCTTTATCTTCACAATACACCCTCAAAAAGATGCTGTTATTTTGACTGATGGAGGTGAGCCCTGAGAGGCTCCACAATTTGCCCCAGTCAGCTGTGAGATGTCCAGTTAGGATTGGTCTCCTGTACCCGAAGCCTGTGAAGGTTGGCTGCCACATCTTGCTTCACAGGCCATCCCATAGCTGACTTATCTATTAGAATGGAGGGAGATAGTCTCTGGATAATGAAATCAAATTTAAAAGGCAAACAAGTTTTCAGCTATCTTCCAAGCATATAACAATGTTATGAAAAAGGCTATCTGGCTCAGAAAGGGCACTGTCACTTACCTCTTTTCCTTTTAAGATGGAGCTCTACCTGGAGAACACCCATCTAAGAAACTGAAATTGCAAAGCCCACTCTTGCTTGAGTACTGCTAGTGTTAGCTGTATGCTGAGCTAAAACAAAACAAAACAAAACAAAACAAACAAAACAAAACAAAACAAAAACCTGGATGAGCCACTGTCTATTCACATCAGATCCACATCAGTTTTTCTGCTGGTGGCTTTTATGGTCTCCCATGAGAGACCATAAAACTTCAAATTGTGGGACATTGTGAAGTAATTTAAGAAGAATCAAATATTGTGAAACAGTTGGGAGCTCACTGTGAGAAACCTGGGTTCCTTGGAAGGACGAGAATGGGTTTTGGAGAATAGGTAGGAAATCTCTGCCACATAGGCCATCCAAGTGGAGATGTGCAATGGTCATTTGGAAATATGGCATAGGAGCTGGGGAGAGAGTGGAAATAGCATCTAAAGTTTTGAGGCCTTAGGATCAGATGAACTTGTTAAGGAAAATTGGATAGAGTCTGAAGAGGAAAGGTTGAAAACGGAACCTTGAGGAATACCAGACATTAAGGGACAGGCAGAGGAAGAGGAATTGGCAAAGGAGACTGACAAAGAGTAGAATCAGAAAGACAGGGGTGACCAAAAGCAGGGTAGCATTTCCAAATGAAAAAGCTGACAGAACTTTGAGGAAGCCCATCCTAGGGCTGCCATAACAAAACATGCCGGACCAGTGGGCTTGAAAAACAAAATTTATTTTAACAGATGCAGAGAGGTCAAGCGGGATGTGGACTTAGATGGTGTCATTGACTTTGGCAATTAGAGTACTGGTGACCCTACAGTGTAGTTTCAGTTGAGTAGAGGTGAGATGGTAGAGGCCTGAGAAGGAAATGCAAAGTGATAAAGTGGAGCTAAGGAGCAGAGGGCTCACTGGCAATGGAAGACTTTTCTGGCATCCCAAGCCACTATGAACTATGAAATGTCAATTAGTAAATCTATGCTGGGCACCATATTTCCTGAAGTGCCATCTTAATTTTTAGTTGAGTCAACTATTACAAATGTCTTTCTTCATCAGGGAGAGTGACATACTCACTGTATGGTACTCTTAAGTGTGCATTCATTTTCTTTCTCATCCCGGGTCCCACTGTTCACAATGGTCTATGGCATCCATTTATATCACCTGCCTGTCCCCTGAAAGCATGTAGTTTGTGACTTTTGTTAAGGTATCTCTTGGGGCTCCTTTCAAGGTTACTTCTTATATCTAGGATAAATCAGAGCTTTCCTCTGAAGCAAAACAGAACATTTATTTACTTATTTATTGGTCTTGACATGTTTTATTGTGATACAATACACATAAACAGAACATTTATAGACCAGTGGCAGTGGGATGTATATCTCATGCTAGGGAGGAGGTGGAGGACCATCTACTGGTGGAAACCAAGTCGTGGAAAAGATGATGTTTGACTATGATAATAAAAAAGAAAGACAAGAGGGAGAATGCTGTTTATATAGAAGCCTGCAACTGCAATAATGACTCTACACTGGAGATTGATCAAGGAAGCATCCAGTAAAGGAATGCGTTATTAAACTAGCTACCTGCTGGATAACTGGAACTTAATACAGCTGAGAAAACTCTGGGAGCTTGTATAAAATACTTATCTCAGCATTACCCCACCCAAGGTTGAGGGAGCTCTCATCAGTCATTGACTGACTGGTGCTGGAATGGGGAGAGGAGTGAATGTGCATTAATAGTGCCAATGTCCTGGCAACTCCTGCCATGGAGTGGTGAGATAAAGACTTCAGGCCAAGGAGAGCAGGTGCTACAGCTGGAAGTCAGCATGGGTGTGGTAAAGGGGTTGAAGGAAAGGTGGATGCCAGTAGTCTCTGCTGTAGTCCTGTGCTGTTTTGTCCTCTGTCATTCTGATTCCTTTGAATCAAGCTCTGAAACCTTGAGTCCTGTCCTACAAATACCTGCCTCATAAAAATGTGCAGATATTTTTCTAGGGTATTGTATTAGATTGCTAGGGCTGCCATAACAAAATACTGCAGACCGGTGGGCTTGAAAAACAAAAATTTATTTTCTCATAGTCTTAGAGGCTAGAAGTCTGAGGCAAGGTTGGTTTCTTATGAAGACCCTCTCCTTGCCTCGTAGGTAACCATTTTCTCTTGTGTCTTCATATGGTCTTCCCTCTGTATGTGCCTGTCTTAATCTCCTAATCTTATAAGGACACCAGTCATACTGAATTATGGCCCATCCAGGTGACCTCATTTTACCTTAATTGCCTCTTGAAAGATGCTACATACAAATACAGTCAGTCACATTATCAGATATTGGGGGTTAGGACTTCAACATGTGAATTTGACAGGGACACTGTTCAGGTATTTATTTAAAGATGAAATTGTTTGGCCAAAGAATGTACACATTTTAAATTTTAATAAGTTGACTAAATTAACATTGAAGAGTGGCAGAATATGCCTCTCCAGAATATGTCATTTTGGCTTAAGGGTTATTTTGAAATAAAGGCACTTTTAAGGAGAAGGTGGAAACAGAATTTTTTTGAGACAAAATCTCACTCTGTCTCCTTGGCACAACCTTGGCTTACTGTAGCCTTGACCTCCTGGGATCAAGTGATCCTCCTGCCTCAGCCTCCGGAGTACCTGGAACCACAGGTGCACACTACCATGCCTGGCTAAGTGTGTGTGTGTGTGTGTGTGTGTGTGTGTGTGTGTGTGTGTGTGTGTGTGTTTTGTAGAGTTGGGGTCTTGTGATGTTGCCCAAGCTGGTCTTGAATTCCTGGCCTCAAGTGATCCCCCTGCCTCAGCTTCCCACAGTACTGGGATTACAGGTATGAGCCACCATGCCCTTCTTAAAGCAGAACTTTCTGACTTCTCCTTTTTTTCCTGAAAGCATATTAAACTCCCATGTAAAAGATGCTCTCTCTGTACCTGGAGGAAAGAGATATTTTTATCACCAGAGACAGAGAGAACTCTCTGCAGATAATCGAATTTTGTTGAAACAACTCTCACCTTTCTTTAGCTTTCCTGTATATTTTACTTTTTCACAATTGCCCCTCTTTGTCCAACATAGTAGGAAAGCATTGAAGTTTTGCAACTTCTTTGAGCCATCATTTGTTTATGAAGATTCTTAAGTCACATAAAACTTAAAAATTAAATAAATCTTTAGGTTTCTCTCCTGCTAGTCTATTTTATGTCAATCTAATTCTCAGGCCCTGCTGGGGTTCCTACAAAGGTATAGGTAAAGCTTTGTCTGCCCTACACCATTCTATATAGTATCACGAATTTCACTTAAATCAGCAATGTCTGACATCACTTCTTTCACACACCCTTCCCAACATTGTTATTATCAAATTTTAAAAACTTTGCTAATCAGATAGGTAAAAAAGTGGCATCTCTTTTTTTTTTTAACCCAAATTTGCCCAATTACTGATAACACTGAGGATCTTTTTATATTTTTGTTAGCCATTGAACTTTCCTCTTGTCTGTTCATGTTATTTTCTCTTGGGTCATTTGTCTTTGATTATGAAATTCTCATTTTTTTTAATGTATATCACTATACTAACTCTTTGATACATAGGCTGTAGATATCTTCTAATAGACTATCATTCATCTTTATGTGAATGTTTATCATATAGAGGTTTTACATTTCAATGTGGTTACCTGTGCCCTAAGTTTGTTCTCTTCTTACTTCCTCAAGGACTTTTTTACTCTGTGGATAATGCCCCCACCCTTCCAGCTTCAGCCTTACTCTAAGGAATCCTTGCAATTGTTGAGAAACATACTCTAGTATGTCCCACTTTTTACACCTACTCCTTGAACCATCTCTCTCTCCAATTACTGGCCTCTTTTTGCTTTGTTTCATAGCAACATTTCTCAAAAGACAGGTTTTTTTCGTTCTCTCCACTTCCTCACCACCCCTCCAGTCATCACCCTCTGTAGTCTGGCTCTATGACCACCTCTCTGCTGGAAGTGTTCTTGTTAAGATCACCAGTCACCTTCATGGTGCTAGTTGGAGTCACACCTCTGTTCTCACGTTATTTAATCTTTCGGTAGCATTCACCATGACTGACCATATCTCCCTTCCTGAAACATTTTTTTTAAATCTTGGCTTCAGTAAATGAGCTCCCCGTTTTCTTTCTAACTGCCTCAGCACTTCTCAGTACCCTCTGCTGATTCTTCCTCCACCACCAACTCCCTAAATGTTGGAGTGTCTCCTGGTACAGCCCTGGACACTCCTCACCAGCTTTTCATCAGGTAAACTAACTCCTGTCCCAATAAATACCTTCTGTGTGCTGATGACCCCCAAATGCACAGCTGCACCCTCGACCAAGTCCTTGAGCTTTAGACTCGTACATCCAATTCCCTACTGGACACCTCCCCTTGATTATTTCACACTTAATGAGTCCAAAAATTGATCTTTTTGATTTTCACTGCCTCCCCAAAAAACTTTTCCCACTCTGTTTTCCCCTATCTTGCCAAGAATCCTGTTGCTCAAACCAAACTCTTAGGAATCACCCTGATTTCTCCCTTCACTTCAGCAGTCCATCAGCAAGTCTTAATGTTTCTATTTCCAAAATGTTCTCAGTATCCATATATTTTCATCCATCTTTGCAACTATTGTGCTATTCCTTGCACTGACATATCTTCCCAGGACTACAGCTGTAGCCTCCTAAATGGTCTCCTGCTTCCATTCCTGCCTCCGTCTAGCTTATTCTCCTGTTAACATTTTCAGCATTTACCCCCATCTTAAGTTACTGTAATAACTTTTTTCTTTATGTTGTTATTGTCTGTTTCCTCTATTATTTTGCAAGCTCTGTGAGGGTAGGGACCAGATCTGTTGTATTTCTCACCATATGCTAACTTCTGGCAGATTTAAGTATCTTAGTACATACATTTTGATTAAATCAATGAGCAAGTGAATGCATGATTTTAAATATTAGGTAATATTCATAATTTGCTCAGAAAATTCTCCTGAGATTGGCCACTTCCCAGACTGGTGAAACAGGAGAAAAGGATCTTGTATATCTCAATGACTCCTGAAAAGAGCATAAAAATAGTATGTTTGGGAACATAATGTGGAGCAGGAGTTATAATCTCAAATGTCTCTGGGTTCTGGCAGGTAACAGAAATGGGGAAGTTACCATGTGTAAGCCACAGTGAGTGGTAGGGACTGTCACAATCTGGAGAGGCTCCAGCTCCAGCTAATGCAGACTCATCAGCTCCAGCCAGATGTGGCCAAGCAGTGAGGGGCCCAAAGGTAAGTGATCTTCCAATTTTTCAAAAGAAGCTGAAAGTATATACGTACAAATTGGAATTGGTTTTGTTGAATTTCTCAAACTTGAAAAAGAATTAGTTTTGGCTGTGAGTAACGATTTGAAACAGCAATTTAAATGAGGGAAAGTATATTTCTTTCCCACAAAAAGAAGTTTGGGACATATAGTCCAAGACTCATGAAGCTCAATGGAATTAGGGACCCAGGCTTCTTCTAATTTGTTGCTTATCTTGGCATGGCTTTCATTCTTGAACTTACTTTGTGGCCCAAGGGACTGATGTAGCCCCAGCCATTAGCTCCTCATTCTGCACAGCAGGAAGCAAAAGGGGAAAGAAAGGGCCTGACTTCCTGGAAGCTTCTATGCCTCACTTCTATTTCATTTCATTGTCTAGAACTTAATCATGCAGCAACTTCTAGCTGCAAGGGAGGCTGGAAAGTGTAATGTTTGTTTTAAGTAGACATGCTCAACTAAGGAAGAAGGGAAGGATGGATACTGGAGGTCTAAAGTAGGAGTCTCTGCCAGAGCTGGCTATTTATGTGAAATTTCTAGGTTTTGACAACATGACAGCTAAACACAGCAGGTCTGTCACCTGATTTCAGCAGAGGAGCTGCCATTGTTGTTAACCCTGCTTAGAGCAGCAAATGTGAATGGGATGCACTTCAGTGTCACATGGGGCAGCCCACAAGTCTGGGTGCTGAGGATCATAAACAGATGCAGGTTAGTAGGACTTAGACAGTGCAAACAGTAGTACCTGTGTTCAGGTACCCTAGGAGATGGAGGCAGGTTGTGGAAAGCACTGTGAAGGTGGGTTGTGGGTAATGGGTGAGGGAGCGGCTACAGTCTGTTACCTGTACACCCAAGCAGTGTTCAGGGCATTGGCAGCAACATGGGAGGATCCTGGCATCCCTTACCTTTAGGTCTAAGCAGTTATTCCAAGGGGTGCAGTTTCTATCTTCTCTGAATTATAAAGTCCCACTCAGTGTTCTGACCTCGCATACCAGGTCAAGGTCACCCTCTCTGGAGATGTAAGTGAGGCTGAACTAGGCCCAAACTCCCTGAGAGCTCACTGGCCCTTTCCAATCACTGCCTTCACTACCAGCCCTCTTCAGTCCTCTCTCTCTGGCCCTCTCTAGCCCCGTCCAATCACTCAAATTGCCCTCTTAGACTTGGGTTCATCCCAGTCTGAGGCTCCATGACAATTCCCCTCTAAATAGCCTCATCTCCCAGTCACACCAGACCTTCTTGCCATGGTGGCACCATGTGGTGGTAGGAAAAGAATTGAATTTGCAGACAGGCTTCCCCCACTTGAATCTCTGTACCATCACTTACTAATTGACTGGACTATAAATATTTCTATAAGTGTAAATTGGCACTAATAACATTCTCCTTACCTACTTCACAAGGCTTTTTGGAGGATTCACAGGGATTACTTATGTAAAAGGTCTTTGTTTAAAAAGAAAAAATAGCCTAAACAACTCTGCATACAAATTTAAGGTTCCAGTAAAGATTCTCTGTAACTGCCCATATATGTTTAAAATTCGTGACTTTATTGACACAAACTTTGCAATGAAAAGTGTCATCCTAATAGGATAGTAAGAATCAGTTTCTGTCTCATACACACTTGAAAAAGTAGCCAGATGCATTTTTAGTCACATGGTTTAACTTCTGCTTGCTGTCTCTGTGAAATCCAGATTGTTCTGGGGAAGACTAGATTATATGCCCTGCATTTCCTTCTCCCCTGGAAGTGAGAAAGTGTTTCTATATAAAACAGAGACACTTTCTTAAGGTGATAAATTCCAAACAACATGCAGCAGTGAACAGATGTAGAAAGAAAGCAGTAAAGAGAAGCCACAAAGCACATCCCCTGGGAGAAAGAGCCCTTGAAGTTGCAGGGTCACTGCCAACCTTCGGCAGCTGGGGGCTCCTGCTGAGTAATGCCAGTGGGGACATATGAGTCACAGGTTTTGCTTTTATTTTATTATTATTAAAAACATTTTTTAGAACATGAAGTTCCCTAAAAGCCCTTTCTCAAAGAATCACAAAATGATAAAGGTTTAGAAAAACTATAATTTTGTGTGTGATATAGTCTTGTACAGTGATTAGAACACCTAGTTAAGACACAAACCTACCCTGGATATGAAAGATTCCATTGCAGAGCAATTTGCAACACACACGATGTCTTAGGGTCTAATTCAGTCTCCTGGTTATGAAGTCACTGTTAGATTCAGGATAGACAGTCATGACTACAAGACCCCAAATCTGTCAACATCTGCATAGTACCTGGCACAGGATGGACATTCAATGTTTAGTAAATAAATATACAATCTGCCCATGGAAGGAAAGAAGGAACAATGACACCACCCATTTGGGTTTGAAGAATAACAGAGTTAGCAGATAAGGAGGTTGAGTACCTGACCTTTGACCTGCATATCAGTTCTCTGGACTATATTATATAAATATAACACCATTAGGCTGCCTATTTCTGCTAAATATGGAATTTATTGGTATAGTTTGGTACAACTTTAGTCCTGTGTTTCCCAATCCCAGGCATGTTAACAGTCCTTAAAAAATCATGCTACATTACTTTGCAGGAAAATACTTCTAGATGAACATGTTTCAAAACATATGAGAAAACTATTCCTATCAAAACATCGTTTTTCTGTGTCAGCTACCTCATTTCTAATGCAGGGCACATCAACCTAATGTCAGAGTGAATACACATAAAACAGATGCTGGCTTTCTAAAGTGATTCCTTTGTGGATGCCAACATGACAGTCCTGGAGCTGTATACAGAGAGGCCAAGGGGAAGCCATGCATGCTGCTGCATGTCTCTGAATCATCTCCCTCTCCTCCGCAGTATTCAGCCTTTGATTCACAATTGCAAATGACCCCAATGGAGAGGGAAGGCATTCAAGAAGACAAGCAAAGGGAACTGGAAAGCTATGCAAAATTGCAATGTCTGGCTGAGCCTTCAGGGGTGTCCTTATTTGGATACATTGGCCACAAGCACGGTGACATTAAGGACTGGAGGACTTTCCAGGCAGATGAGAAACAGGTATGACTGCTTCACAGACACCTCCCAAAGACATGCCATGGGCAGTGGGTTGGTGCATGGGAAACTGGATCTGATCTGTCTCATACCATGCTAAGGAAACAAGGATAACAAGGAGTTTCCCTGTACCTTGATTGTTTCAATATGTGGGTTTAGAGTTGGATGAAAGCCAGCTTTTAAGTGAACCTGATAAGATTTGTAATGATAATATTTAAAATGAAAGAAGGAAAGAATAAGTTTGCCTGAAACAGAACACACTATCATGGCCAGGCGAGTTTAGCACTGAGGTGTGACTCTTTAACCCAGGAAACACATTCCTACTTTTCTGTTTCACAAACTGACCTGTAGCTTTAACTCACTACTTTTACACCAGACCCTGTTACAGGAGTTGCAAAGAGGCAAACTGAACTGCACACTTGCAGTTTATTAACATAGGTGAGCACTGTACCAATACATTTGTATGATAAGTAGGAGGCTCAGAAGGTCCCAACAAATCAGGCAGCAGTTTGCTACCAGGTAAGACAGTCTTGCCAGGGACTCAGTAGCATTCATGTGCAGTAAGGGGAAGACACTTCTTCAAGGTTCTTTGATGGGATCTAGTGCCATGAAGGACACTGAAGAAGTCCAGCTGCCCTTCTGCTTGCACTCTCTGCTAGTTGACACAGTTCTTTGTGATTCTTCGACTTCTGTCCATCTGTTGGATGCTGTCTGTTACATTAATGGTGACTTCTTTTGAGGACATTCTCTTAGCTTCTCTTTTAGCCTGTTAAGTTGAAAACAGTGATTGAGTTACTAGGAAATGTAAACCAAAGAAAATGACTGAGGCAAATCTCAATCAATTTAGGGGTTTATTTTGCTACCGTTGGGAATATACCTAGGAAAAAGGAACACAAATCACAAGAACATTTGTGATCTGTGCTTTTCCTAGAGAGGGTTTGAGGACTTCAGTATTTAAAGGGAAAAAAGTAGGCAGTAATGGAAAGAGGAAAGGAAAAGGGGAGGGTAGAGAAAAGGGGCAAACAGTTACATTCTTTTGAGGCTTTCATGAGCATTCATTGAATCCACATTTTATATGTGAAAGGAGGGGATAAAGGAACAAATATGCATTCATCTCATGCTCAGTGAACTTGCATTTTTATATAAGATAAACATAGAAGAGCTAATGAGCAAAATATGCATTTGTCTTAAGTGAGCAGAGGGATGACTCCTAGTCCTGTCTCTGTCCCATGCCTGTGAAGATAAGCTATTAATTTACATACGATGAAATCCAGGGACAGATCCAAGATGGCTGATTAGAAGCAGCTCAGGATTGCAGCTCCCAGCAAAAGCGCAGAGGGTGAGTGGATGCCGCATTTCTAGATGGATTTTTATTGCCCACAGACCAGGAGATTCCCAGGCAGAGGAGCCCCACGGGTTGCCAGTGCAGCTGTTTTGGCCGGTGTGGTGATTCTATGCACAAAATACACAGGTCCGGGTGCTGTTTTAGCTGGCAATTGGAGCTCCTGGGAGACAGAGTTGCCCATTAAACTGATAAAAAAGGGGACTGAAAGAGGGAGCCAGGCCAGGAGATTCCTGGGCAAAAAAGCGCCACGAATCTCAGCACGGCTGTTTCAGCCAGCACAGTGGGTCACCACATAGGAAATCTCAGTGCCTTTTCAACAGGCGACTGGAATACCTGGGAGACAGAGTCACCCATTCAACTTAAGAAAAAAAAAAAAAAAAAAAAAAAAAAAGGGCTCTGAGGCAGGGAGCCAGGTGATCAGGCTTGGCTGGTCCCACCCCCACAAAAAAACAGCAATCTGAAACACTCTGGATTGAGAGTTTCACAGCAAGCACAGCTGAACCAGGGACAGTCCAGCTCTGTGGGGGAGGGGCATCCACCATTACCAAGGCAGTCCACCACTACGGAGGTAGTCCGCCATTGCTGAGATA